TTACAGGTTACGAGTTGAAAGCTTGTACTGCGCGTTGTTCGCCAAAATGAAAAATGGAAATGCTCGTTGATCACTCAATTCAGACTGAAGTTGACGCTAAGTGTGGCACAGGACGAAAGACGATAGCAATCACACGACAAGATTTCGAAAAGGATTGTGGATGGTAAAAATGGTATGTGCTGTACATTCCACAGTGGCTTGATCGTCACCGCTCGCGTGGTGAAATGATCCTATAGTCATGTAAACTTCTCCATGAAGAAATGATACTTGGATAAGTGATTGTATGTATTTACTTGCTGGAATCTCTGTGAAAAATGTTAATCGAAGTAACAGCTTTAGCGATGAAATCTGGATCGCTTGAGAATTTTTTACTCATTTAAACTCGAAATAACAAACACACGTGGTGGTGTATGACCGAAAGTCATTATTCTACCGAGTTGTGAATTCGAAGATTAGCAAAATGATGTGCTTCATAACAAATTGAGTAATCATGTACAAGGAGACCACAAAGAAATTTGTTCGTTATATCAAAGCAGCTTTTTCTCAGGGTAAAAGCTGGACCATAAATTTTCAAAGCTGCATCAGTAATTATTACTGTAGATGTGACACAATTTGACGATTGGATATTAGGCGTTTTATAAAGGATAAATTATACTTCATGTCCATCCCTCACATTATCGTATATTCGAAAATCAGTGTCAAAACTACAGCAGAATTTATTTTCAACAATCTAGGTACTCTCACTGTTGCGAATCGCTCATCGTAATTGGAAAAACGTAACTTTAGGGAATGGCTGCCTACAGATCAATACTCATTTCTATTAGCTACAATGTGTCCTGAGTAAAACAAGGCAGTGGTATGAAGCGTCGCGCCGGTGTGCGATACACAACCTTAAACGGTGATTTCATAGAGGTCTGAGCCATTTGCTTATATCAGTTATAACCAGGCCTCTCTAAATACGGCAATCTGGAAATAGAATCCGTATATTCCGTATTTGCTTTTTAAAAATGTTCCGTTTTTTAAAAAGAAAAAATAAATTATTCTTATCTCCGTCACGCAGTTTCGCCATACTAGATAGTCATTTCCGTGCTGATTTGCTGTATTTCTGTGCATCCGTCAAGATGTCTGAGCCCGCAGAAAAGCGCCCTTGTAAAGCTGGTGCCCGGAAGACTCC